GTCAGGCTCTGTGCTGACAATTCAGACCCTGGAGTCTGCTTCGGATTCTGTGTCTCCCTCTCTCTCTGCCCCTCCCCTACTCACAATCTGTCTATCTCAAAAATAAACAAACATTAAAATAAATAAATAAGTTCTTTAGGGAAAAGGAAAATTATTTAGTTCTGAAACTTGGATCTACCTTAGGTAAGGAAGAGTACTAGAGAAGGAATAAATGAAGGAAAATAAAACCTTTTATTTCTCTTACTCTTTTTTTTTTTTTTTTTTTAATTTTTTTTTCAACATTTATTTATTTTTTGGGACAGAGAGAGACAGAGCATGAACGGGGGAGGGGCAGAGAGAGAGGGAGACACAGAATCGGAAACAGGGTCCAGGCTCTGAGCCATCAGCCCAGAGCCCGAAGCGGGGCTCGAACTCCCGGACCGTGAGATCGTGACCTGGCTGAAGTCGGACGCTTAACCGACTGCGCCACCCAGGCGCCCCTTATTTCTCTTACTCTTAATCTATCTCTCAGATAACAGTTTGTTCAAAAAGAATAATAACAATACATATAGTGATTATTGCTTATGGTAAATGAAATTAATGAATGGCAGCAATGTCATAAGGGATACAAAGGAGGAACAGGGAATACTTTGTTATAAGGTGCTTGCATTACCCATTGAGTGGTAGAGTGTTATTTGAAAGATGACTTGAATTAGTTATAAATGTATACTGCAAACTCTAGGGAAACCACTAGGAAAAAAAAAGGTAAAAGAAAAGCATAATTTATATGCTAAGAGAGGGGAAAAAGTAGAATCATATAAAATACTCAATTAAAGTCAGAAAGCAGAAAAGCACGACCCATAAAAGAAAAACAATCAGTAAGTTGGACTTCATTAAAATGTAAAACTTCTGTTCTACAAAAGAAGCTGTGAAGAGAATGAAAAGCAAGGCACAGATTAGGAGAAAATCTTTGTAAAACATGTATCAGATAAAAGTGTCCAAAACATGCAAAGAATTCTTAAAACTCAACAATAAGAAAACACCACCCAATTAAAAAATGAGCAGACATCTCAACAAAAATATATATACAAATGTCAAATAAGCATATGAAAAGAGGCTCAACACCATATGTCATTAGGGAAATATAAATCAAAACAATGAGATATCACTTACACCTGTTGGAATGTCCCAAGTCCAAAACTTAGCACCAAATGCTAAAGAGGAATTCTCCTTCACTGCTGATATGGGGAATGCAAAATAGTACCACTTTGGAAAACAGTGAAGATTTTTTACAAAAGTAAACACACTCTTAGTGCATGATCTAGCAATCACATTCCATGGTACTTACTCAAATCAATCAAAAACTTACATCCACACAAAAACCTGTACACAAGTGTTTACAGCACCTGTGTTTATAATTGCCAAAACTTGGAGGCAATCGAAATGTCTTTCACCAAGTGAACAGACAAAAAAATCCTATAGTACATCCATATAATGGAATATTATTCAGGGATTAAAAAGAAAAAAGAGCTATCAAGCCACAAAAGACATGGAGAAATCTTAAATGCATATTGCTAAGCACAGAAGCGAATCTGGAAAGGCTAGGATTCCAACTATATGATATTCTGGAAAACTATGGAGACAGTAAGAAAAAAATCCGTGGTTGCGAGGGGCTTGGGGGAAAGGAAGGCAAGGATGAACAGGAGGAAAAGAGCAGAGTTTTAGGGCAGTGAAACTATTTTTCTAAAAGATACTATAATGGTAGGTACATTCATTTTATTTGTCAAGACCTGTAGAATATACAACACAGAGCGTAAACCCTAACGCAAGCTACAGACTTCAACTGATAATGTATCAATATTAGCTCATCAAGTGTAACACATGTATCCCACTAACGCAAGATGTTAAAAATAGAGGCAAGTGAGGGCAGGGGGTGAGGGTACATATGGAACGCCATACTTTTGGCTCAATACTTTTTGTAAACCTAAAACTGCCCTGCCCCCCTCCCCACCAAATAAACCATATTGATGTAAAAAGAAAATTATACATGTAGTTTTCTTTTATCAGTGTAAGTAGCTGACGAGTATTTCTGAGACAGTGTAAATAATGAAGAAGAAAACAAAAATAGGAGGACTTTAGGTTACACTACAGGTGAATTGTTGAGTCTCATGATTTTGAGAAGGTTTTAAACGGCAATGAAATTTGCTAATTTTCATAATAACAGTTTGGGAAAATGGTGGCACTATCATTCATGTATGAATACAGTCAACTTTGTGAGCAGTAAAAACCTATTTATCTACAGTTGCAACCCACATTCTGAGACAAAGATGAGCTCACAGTTCTATGGTGAATTAGGAGTAAAATACTGGTCATCACATCCTTCCTTCTTTTTTTAGTCTTTGCCTCTTTAAGGTGCTTTTATTTTCTTTTTACTATTTATTCATTTACCTGGATAGGCAAAAACAGCAAGAAGAAACCTAATTTTAATGTGACAAAGTGTTACCTCAATTTTTTTTTCTACTTGATGCAGCTCCAAAGTGACAGGTGGAAATATTCCACTGTGGCAAGCCAGCCAGGTGAAAATGAGTAGTTTCATCAAATTAGGCCATATCGTCATGGCTAAGTAAATCATTTATATTGTACAGAGGTATATTTTGAGTGATAAAGTTGAAAGAGAGACCTTACTTTTTTAAAATAAGTAGGAAACAATCAGAGATAACCCAATGTATACGAACAAAATTGAGAAGCCCGTTTCCAGAAAGTTCAACTAAAGAACATGCTGAGAACTCTGTACGGGCAAGAACTTTGCATCATTAACTGCCCTGCTCCCACAGTACGGCACATAATAAGGTGACTGCAGCTTTGCTGAATAAATACATGCGTTAATGAAAAAATTACATGCTTCCCCCGAGAGGGAAAAATGACCTACAAATTAAAAGATACTTGATTCACATCAAGCCCTTCAAAAATTTTGAGTACAAGAGTCATCTTCACATGGGAAATGGGGTGTGTTAGCACAGAAACAGACTTTACTAAGTTCATTTCGTTCCTGCTTGATATCCAGAATTGCCCACAATTTCACGCAAGAGAGTGTTGGCTAAACAGATGTTTTTCCTCTCGATGTTTAATACAACTTAGAAAAGAGATCTTTTACCTTATGAAATCTTCTTCCTCTTCTCTCTTTGGCCTCAGCTGTTTGGGTTGAGCCATGTTAACCCAGTTGGGTAGAGATTTCAAGAGTCTGCTGATATCATCGTCCTTTGCCCAAGATGCACTGATGACAAGTTTCTCTTCTGACTGGACAATGCCCCTGAACATAGTCAATGGAAAAGAGACACTTCAGCACATTGCCTGGTACCCAGTTAGCCTTTTTCACCTACCTCTGTTGTGGGGGGGAAAAAAAAAGATACTACAGTCGTCTCTCTTATTAACATAATCCATTATGTGAGTTAGAGTCATGACATCCATTAACAGGTCACATTACTGGGAAACTATCTCTGGATTTCATGCGTAGTTTCTTCATTGTTGAGTAATTGTGAAAGGTAATAATAATACTAATTAGTAGCCCTTATCATAATTAATCCCTTAGGGTAAATAAAAATGTATGGTAGGGTTTGGGGGGAGGATCTTTCAAGAGAAATGTTGAACAAATAACAAGTGGGGCAACCGCTTAATATAAAAGAATATTATTAAGTAACAACATAAATGGTACCAGAAAGGGTCGAAAGTGTTACAAAAGGTTGTTCTCTGACTTCTTGGCTTAAACCACCAATTAGTTCTACTTGAAGGTACTTTTTGAACTATGGACACCCCTCTATTCAAAGTAAATCTACCATCATAGAGAAACCTTCTGCCCCTGATGTCAGACAGAAAAAGTCTTTGATTAATGCTCTCTCCAGTGGGCTTTGACTGGTGACCTAGAGTGACAGGCTTCAAGTCCTTTAATAGGGCCCATGGGTTAGCTATTAACACTGCACTGACCAGAATGTACCTGTAAATTCATCTTAAACGTCCAATTTCAACTTAATTAAAAAGCTTCTCCTTCTGTTCAACATTTCTGTCACTGTACCTAATTTCAACGGTCTAAAAATCGTCAGCAACTCTAGGTGACAGAAAGGACACTTATTTACGAACGGACTGCTAATTAGCTGGCTATCCCCTCTCCAGCTGACCCACACACTGAGAGGTTTCCCTCCAACACAGGCAGGAATTTATGTCGGCGTAAGGATTATACTAGGAGACATTATGCATTCCTAAATATACAACACGTGCATTGTGTGCATGCATGATAAAACCTCCTTTACCAACGTACAATTTGTCAACAAAAGAAGCTGAAACCTAAAAACCTTGACTCATCAGCACCTGACTCAAGGTAATAGGATTTCACGTTGTAGGAAACAATATTCTCGTGGTTCTCTGAAAATAAACTAGAATAAGAGAACCATAGCTGATTTCTAGAATTCTTCTAATGCGCCATAAGCAAAAGTTTTCTCACAGTGACTATGGTCAGTGATACAGAAATTAGACTACAAAACCTTCTTCTGTGTCTCTCAAATTACTCTCAATGGTAGCTTCTATTCTCTTTTTCTCCTTGTTACTTTCTTGTCTCTTTCCTGTGATATTTATGAATTAATCCCACAATCTGACTTTTCCACATTCGTGTGTGGGGTGCTGGATCCAACCTTTCAGGATGGTCCTATCTCACATTTATGATGCTGTATGCCGGGTGGGCCCTCAGTGTTCTTTGGTGTTCCTTTTACCTGTCTCTGGTCAACTTCCCTTCCCACTCTCTCAATGCCTATTTGTTAAGCCTTTGTCCTTTATCTCCTCATTGCTTACCCCCCACACTCTTCCTATCTGATGTAGAAAGGAGGGCTCCTAATTATATACTTTTCAACATTCCATCTCTATCCCCCACAGAAATGTCTTCAAATCTGTTTCATTCTCATTTACTTCCAGTAATCCCTCTACCTAGGCCCTTAGGGATCCTCCCTACCACCCCTCAAATCCCCCTTTCCCTATATGTCTACTATCTCTCTCATTATATTCCCCAACCCATGTTATTAAAAAAAAGAAGAAGAAGAAGAAGAAACGAATCAACCTCTTGATCCTGCATTTACTTCTAATGAAGCTCCTTCCTCCCCTTCATAGACACTGTCATCAATGAGTGACATCCATTCAGACAGAGCCTGGCATAGGTCTCGATCTCACAAACTGTGAGATCATGCCCTGAGCCAAAATGAAAAGTCGGGTGCTTAACCAACTGAGCCACCTAGGCACCCCCAGGGTTGACATTTTAAAATGCTTTTTTTAAAAAAAACAAAAACAAAACAAAAAAACAAAACAAAGGAAGAATATTTTGTGAGCTGTGAATATTATATAAAACTTAAACTTCAGCATCTGTATCTAGAAAGAATTTTGCTGGGTGGTTCAATTCCCCTTAGAACTGTAATCCAGGTGAAATTCTGTTCCACGGAGTCAGAACCCAACTCAGTTTTCTGGCATCTAAATCTTTGAGCCCATGGATGCTCAGCGTTTAGGAAATAGTTTGGGTATATAGATGTGAGGTGGTATTGTACACTTTAGGGATCTAGAATTTTTCACCTTAGCACTAGCTGAAATGAAAAAAAAAATATGTCAGTGAAAGACTACATTAAAAGCACCCACATTGTTTACTTATATATATTTTTTAAAGACTGGTTTAATTCAATAATCAATATTATATTACTGGCTTCACTAATATTCATAGATCCTATTTTATTAAAAAAACAGTAATCGAAAAGAACTAAGATGCTTACCTATATACACTGCTCTCAACAATAAATTATTAACTCATATCAGAATGAAGATCAATCCCAAATGCCAAAGCATTCTAATTTGAAATACTGGCATTGATTAGCAACATACAATTACCCAGAAGGGAGTTTTTAATTCAAATGGCAAAGTTTCCATCCTAACCAATTGCGTTTATTAGTTTCTCATCTTGTGATCAGCTGGACTGTGTGGGCTACCACATTCTAGGACATAACCGAATAGCCTCAAAAAAGAAGAGCTACGTTTCCAACAATTATTCCACAAGAGGAGTAGGGTTAATCACCACTACCAGAACCATAATCTACTAATTAATTCACGGCTCAATGGGCCACAGACAGAGCCATCTGTGCAGCTATCGGTACCCGGTCCCAGGAGGAAGAGGAAAATCAGTGCACCTCTCCGAACAGGTGATAAGGCGGCCGTGAGAAGGGTCCACCCTCTAGACACAGTTGAGCGAATTTCGTTCAGAAAACATCTGCTGGTGTGGACTGGCTCTGATGTGCATCGCTTCCTCTCTGGAACAGTTGGGAAATGCCACGTGGGCCTGGTCCCTGGACACAGCTGGGATGCTGAGTCTTTCATTAGGTAAACAACCAGGGGCAGGTGGGGCTAATTGGATTCAACTGTTTGGTGACAGCCGGGGCATGATGTTTACTTTCCCAGACTGAATCTTCCAGATACTTCAAAACCCAGGAGCCAAGCTAGACAGATGAGACGCACAGCCTGATGAACCGCGGACAAAGATGGTTCTCATTGAGACGCTGTAGTGGGTTTTCAACTGTGAATGACCGGACCCGTAGCAGGCCACACTATAACGCGATGTCCGGTGACACAGTGACAATGACGATGAGGGATGCAAAAGTAACAGGTAGTGCTATGCCTCTAATTGAAATAAACACAAACACAACACCCTGAAATCCCTTAAGAGAAGATGGGGCAGAATAAGTAGGAAAAGAGCAGAGAGACATTGGGCTACTTTTCCATCACACTCAACGCTGGTCAGAGAGCCTTATGACGGTATGGATTTCTACCCAGGAATCACAACTTCAGAAACATCTGGGTACTCTGGCTCAGGGGACACAGAAAGAGTTCAGGAAGACCCGTGGAAAAGGATTTGAAATTTGAGAGTTTACAGAAGGTAACCCTTGGGCATGATTTAATAACAACCTTCAAATAGACAAGTTCTCATATGAAGGGTCATAACTGATATTTTAAAAAACCAAGAAGAAAATAATTGTGTTGTAACAGAAGACCACAAATTAATCTAAAATATGTCTCAACTGTCAGCGTTCAGATTTTTCTTATGACAAGCAACTTTAAATATGAATATCCTGAAGGTCTTTATGGAAAGACACCAGGCCAGGCAACTGCCTATTTCAACCCTGAATGCCATCCTATTGCATTTAGAATAAAACCCAAATTCCCTGGCCTTGGGATCCTTTGTCAATGGTCCTTAATTCTGGCGCACACTAAAATACTTGGGATGCATTTTAAAAATGTATCAATTACACATTCTGAAGTGGGGCTCAGCATGGACAGCTTCGAGCTCTCACGTGATTCTCATGTGTAGCCAGAAACAACCCAAATGATCTGACCCCTGCACCTGTCCAACCTTACTCACCATTCACTTCTTTCTCCCTCTGTTCCAGTTACGCTAGGCTTAATGCACTTAGGCTGGAAGCCTCTTGCCATTTTTGCACCTGCTCCCTCCTCTGCCTGGAATGCTCTTCCCCATGTTCCTACATGGCTCCTTCTCAACCTTCAGAATTTAGCTCAAACATCAAGGTCCTCGGCAAGGTCTTTCCCTTACCCTTATTTCTGAGAAATGTATTGTGATTGTTACTTGTTTGTATTCTGTGTCCTCCATGTGGGCGTAAAATCCATGAAGGCAGGACCTTGCCTGTTTGAATCACTTCTATACTCTTAGATCCAGAACAATGCTGGCCCCTAAAAGTGCTTCACAAATAACTGTGGAATAAATCAAGCAATGGATGTATGAATGAATGAATGAATGAATGAACGAATGAATGAATACCACACCAAAGGGCAAAACACCAGGGAAATAACAGATGTTATAAAAATACCTTTCTTTTGCCATCTTATTAGTGAATAACAATACAATCAGTGAACTAATTTTATTTTATTTATTAAAAAAAATTTTTTTTTAACGTTTATTTATTTTTGAGACAGAGAGAGACAGAGCATGAACAGGGGAGGGGCAGAGAGAGAGGGAGACACAGAATCTGAAACAGGCTCCAGGCTCTGAGTGGTCAGCACAGAGCCCGACGTGGGGCTCGAACTCACAGACGGTGAGATCATGACCTGAGCCGAAGTCGGACGCTTAACCGACCGAGCCACCCAGGCGCCCCAGTGAATTAATTTTAAAGTAAATAACAAAAACACCGGTAGCAATAACTGTCAGCTGACACTTCTTGAGCATTTACTATGAACTAGGCATTCTCCTATACACTTCACATGGATTAACTCTTGTAATCC